CCGCCAATATAGATATCCACCTTTTTGACACCTCACTGCACTTACAATTAAACTGTCTAAACCAGAATGTTTTTTGGCATACTAAGAAACAATCAGGAATGGAAAAATACGCCTAAATGTCAACGTTTAATGACCTGAAAAACACTGAAAAACAGAAATGCTTTTACATTTTAACTTTTCAAGTGAAAAAATCCAGTAACTTTTCGTAATGGGCGAATCTTCATGCAGAAGCTAAATTAGAAAGAAAATAAAAGGAGAAGTATCGACATATTACCAGTGAAGCATAACCGTTACTAAAAGAACTGACAATGAAACTTCTCCTTTTTTTTTTTTGCAAATGATCGATCAAAATAGAATTACCTACTTTTTAACATAAATGTACCATATAATATTATGTCAAAAAAAAGATCAAATGTTTTGAAATAACACTAAGCTACTTGCATACGAAACCAACACGACCGCATTTCAAGCAGATATGGCTACCTTTACGAAACTGAGCAAAAATTTTCTCCGTTTTCTCATAGACCATAGCTTAAGACGTTATCAGTTCTTTTGTTAAGCCAAATCATCTATTGTTTTAGATGAGAAAGAAGAGAAGCCTTTTAACTGAAAAAAACCATTTGCCGTTAAAAAATATCCATTTCTGTTTCTTAGCTATTATTTTTTATTTCCTGCCAATTTTGATATTCAGTTAGGTATTGTTTGCAAAATCCTTTCAGAACACAACAGAAAAAGAAATTTTGAAGAACTACCCATAGAAGAAATCCCCAAAAAAATTACATAATTGAAAGAGCATCCATAATGCAGAGAGTTATTTTATTTTGAATGTATTGTCATCACCGTAAACTTCTACGCAACTTTTGTTGACAAAAGGAATGAGAAATGAGTTTGAAATATTATTCTAAATTTCAATATTCTAGCCTCAAAAGCAGCGGTAAAAATGTTACCATCGTACGTTAGAGCCGTTCCAAACGGAACAGAAACCGGAAATTTTCTCGCTCTTGATCTTGGAGGTACGAATTTCCGTGTACTGTTGATTAAACTACGGGGTCATGAAGCCGACATGACCAGTCAGATCTATCGTGTTCCCGAAGCCGTTATGAAGGGTTCAGGGACTGCGGTAAGTCATTCGACAGGGAGGAAATGCAAGTAGTACATCTCTAAAAGTTGAAATTTTTGCTCCATTAGTTCGTTTGCAAACATCCACTTGTTTTAGCTGTTCGATCACATCGCCGACTGTATGGCAAAATTTATAACAGACAACAATATTGAGGCAGCAGCCGGTTTACCTCTTGGTTTTACCTTTTCTTTTCCATGCAGACAAGAAGGGCTAACGCGAGCCAAGTTGATTAACTGGACTAAAGGATTTTGTGCCAGTGGTGTGAAAAATAAAGATGTTGTTCAAATGCTTCGTGAAGCATGTGAAAGAAGAAAGGTAGTCAGTTACTTTAATATTTAGAAGTCTACAGTTGAAGTGTCAAAAAATAACAGTCACAATAACGAATAACATCGCTAAGTAGCATTTCCTTGGCTGTTGAAAATAAACATCGTTTTGTTGTTTAAGGATATTGATATCGATGTAGTAGCCGTTCTGAACGATACTGTTGGTACTTTAATGGCTTGTGCGTTTAAAGAGAACAGCTGTGAGGTCGGCGTTATAGTTGGAACGGGTACCAACGCTTGCTATATGGAAAAGATCGCAAACTGTGAAAAACTTGAAGATGAACATTTGGAAAGCGATGGGTTTCCAAATGAAGTTTGTCAACAACTTAAATACTTTTTTTTTCAACTGCCAACCTTTACTAAATGCAAAATTTTTTTTTTGCCAAGTTAATTTATCTAGGCCAAACTTTCAGCTGTATTAATTGCTTCTTGGTTTTTTTTTTTTCTGTCACTTGTTCTCCACTTTTCTATTAACATAAAATCATGTATTATGAAACGGCCAAGAAGATAAAGTAACGTAAATCATTAAGATGATTATAAATACTGAATGGGGAGCATTTGGAGATGACGGAAAGTTAAATTTTGTGCGAACAGAGTTTGATCGCGATGTTGATAAGCGCTCGATAAACCCGGGAATGCAATTGTGGGTTATCAACTAGATAATAATTAATTTATTCTCTTCTTTTCCATTTTAGCAAATTGAAAAAAATCAAACACTTTTTTAATTTATTCTTTTAAATTTAAGATTTGAAAAAATGATTTCGGGTATGTATATGGGTGAAATTGTTCGAACTGTGTTGCATAAGCTGGCAAAGCAAAAGTTAATATTTGGTGGCAATACAGACGCTATATCGCAGGATCATTGTTTTCCAACTAAATACGTCTCCGAAATTGAGAGGTTTACTTTACAGACACACTTACTTTTCAACTAACTTTTCACAACAAATCAGGCATTTAAACTTCTTCTCAACAGTCATTTATAAGGCTCAGATTACAGTAAGCATTGATCTTCTTTTTTCTGCTTAATGAAAAAAATAATGAGTTAATGTCAGAAGTTTGACCATTAAAAACTA